GAGCCGTGGGAATCGCCCGCCTGTGCGCCTGTGTTCTGCTGGCGCTGCCTGCAACATGCTATCATCGCCGCTCCAGGGGTCTCGTCCCCTTTTCCGGAGTCTCTATTACTTGTATCCCCCACTAGGACAGAGGGGTGTGTGTGTCTCTTGCCATCTTCTTGTCCTTCGCCCCTGTGGGAATACACGCACGTGAGAAACCTCAGCGGGATACACATATACTCTCCGCCGTAGTGTGTGGACAATCCTTGGTTTCAAAACGTCGGTTGCTAAGTGAGGCGGTTGCTGCATTTTGCCCTATTTTACAGCCTTTCTTGCTGCAATTCTTAAGTGAATTGGACACATGGTCATTAAGCGAATCTGGCCTTCCCACCGACTCTGCTTGTCAGAAAGTCACCGGAGGGGATGCCGTGACCTTGTGACTGCCATAAAACCAGGCTATTTGCCAAGGGTCCAAATTTTGATCACGTGGCCCTGGGGCAGTGGTGGTGGGATTCAAAATTGTTTTACTACCGGTTCTGCGGGCGTGGCTTGGTGGGCGTGGCAGGGGAAGGATCCTGCAAAATCCCCCTTCCCTCCCCACCCCTCTAACCTGCTTTCCAGCTCCATTCTCCTGCACAGGGCAACCAAAGGAGACCTAGCCAATCTGCTGGGACTCAACGGGAGGCGGAGAAGAGATGGGGTTGGCGGGGCCAGTCAGAGGCGGGATTGGCCGGTTCTCCCAACTACTCAAAATTTCCACTACCAGTTCTGGAGAACCGGTCAGAACCGTCTGAATACCCACCTCTGCCCCGGCGAGGAGATTGCAAAGGGTCATGTGAACAATTTGGAGGTCACTTTTTTTTCCCAGTGCCGTTGTAACTTCGAACGGTCGTTAAACCAACAGTTGGAAGCCAAGGATTACCTGTACTTGCAAATGCACCTATGCGCCACTCTGTTTCTGCTACCGCAAAGCCCCCAGCTGGCTTTTTTTGAAGGGAGAAAGGAAATCCTAAGACTTTGGAAAGGGACATTGTGCAGAAGTAAAACGAGTGGAACTTTGTTTTTATTTAAGATTATTATTTTGCCTGCATTTTCGTAACCGGTGGGTGGGGGTGTTAGGTAGCCCTGTTTAGCCCACCCAAGAGTCTCCTTAAGTCCTCCACAATCACCCCAGCAATGCCTGCCAAAACGACAATAGATCTTGCCCATTAAGCGCCCTGGGGAGAAGGCCTGACTTGATAGTCAGATGCATCAATTACTGGGAGGCGGGCGATGAAATGCTACTTGGAGCAGAACCGCCCTGTCTCTCCAAAGCCCCCTTTGCAAAATGGGAAACCCACCGCAGGAGTTCATGAAGAATAATTACCGTCCCCTTTTCTGGTTGGGCTCTTTGACGGCACGGAAGAAACAGTCCTGCGATTGCTGGGGGGGGGGGGGGGGGGGGGGGGCGGGGGCTGGAAGCAGGCAAACAATAGATCAGCCCTAGATGAGGCTGGGGTCCCACTGCCTTGGACACCCACAATGGGCCACAGACCTCTGGCTTCACGCAACCTAGGGCGAAGGTGCGTTGGGCTCATTGACCGCACCTGTCCTTCTCCCCAGCATCCAAGACCGGTGTGGGATACAGGGAGGCTTCAATTTATGACTGCAGTTGAGCCCAACATTTCTGCCGCTAAGCAAGACAGTTGCAAAGTGAGTTTTGGCCCCACTCCGTGACTTTTTTTTTCTTGCCATGGTTTTTAAGTGCATTGCTGCAGCCGTTAAGATGGCTGGAAATCCACAGAAATAAACCCGAACTAATGGTCTCTGATGCCTAACACAACCTGGGCTGGTCTACAAAGACCATCATTACACTGGGGGAAGGCGATGGGCTTTGTAATCCAATCCTACAGAGAGCACCAAATTGGGGGAAAAGCTTCTTCAACCTTTTTGCTAGTTCCAGGAAAAAGCAAGCATCGAAGAAGTCCATTACGTTTTCCCACTTTAGCACTTCACCTTTAAGAATAATGTTATTTGTAAGGAAAAAACTCTGCCCAAATTTTTGGAGACAGTCACATCCCGTTTGTGCCAATATGGGACTTGGGATCTTGGGCGAAAAAGCCACCCACCTGCCCCCAAAACACACCTTGAGCTACTGGAGAACATAGGGAGATCATTTGGAGGAGCAAAGGAAAAAAAATTACAGCATCAACAATAACAGATACTCGACAGCATAATAGACCCTTTAATGTATTCCTTCTGTTGGCATTGTGTATCTGCGTGATAATTTTATGTGACAGTGTAATTAAATTGGAAAACAATTCCCATTTCCTATATCTTTTACCTATTTATCATCATTTATTTCTTTACTTTCACCCCCTGCCATAAATATTATTGTAAGAAGAGTTAAATAAGTTAAACCAATGCAATTACTTTTACAGATTGAAATTAACTTCATATATCAATTTATACCCGTTTCCCAGCTATCTGGCCTGGATTTCCGGGACTATATTTACGATGTCACCGTGGTTTCTGTGTTTGCATTCGTTTTTGAGTAATGATCTGTGTGTTAAAAGCTGACATTTTAACAGTATTTTCAAACATTTTCATTCATTATCAAATAACCATTTGTTACACTGTGGCAATTCCAAACCATTTACTGCGCCCCCCCCGCCCATTGCTAAACAATGATTAATCAAGCATGGTGCAAATTTTAATGCTTATCACAGCAAATAGAGAAAGTCACATTAGGAAGTGACTTGACTTCAGGCGAGGTCCAAATGTTTATTCTTCTTATTTTATTTTTTTAAAAATTCCTGAGGAGACATTTATTCAGTGTGAAATGTTTTGCATTTTTTTAAAAAAACAAGCCAGAAAAAAGCATCAGGCAAGGCACTGGGGAAACCCTTTGAAATCCCTCTGCGTTCCTCACAGGCCCGTTTCAATTTGCATTCAGAAGTTTCCCCATCAGACCCAACTTTCAAAAGTTCAGTTGTCAGTCCTGAGCTGCTTCCTCACGTTAAGCTCGAGATGAGATGGGCAGGAGATCGATCAATCAGTCAAATAATGCTCCTGAGAATTGGGGTTCTGTCGGCCTGCCTTCCTTCTGCTGTTTCAACCTAGGATCAGAAGCTACCCAGCTTGGCATATATTGCTTGGGTTCACACGATGCTCTAAGACAGTTTCTTAATCATGGTTTATTGGCTGGGTTCACGCAATGCTTTAAGCCGTTGTTTTTCATTATTGGCAACTTTTAAGAAGCATGGATTTCAACTCCCAGAATTCCCCCCACTGGTATGAGGCTGGGGGAATTCTGGGACTTGAAGTCCACACATATCATCTGCGGAAATCTGGGAGCTGAAGCCCACACACTGAAGTCTTTAAGTTGCCAAGTGTGAACAACCCTGCGCTAAGCCATCAAAGATACAAAATGTTAAGTCCGAACTGAACACACACGATTTGGTCTGTTGTCCAAAACCAACTAGTTCAGGGCTTGCTCATTTCCTGAGTGGTTTTTCACGTCTCCATCTCCCTTTCCTCTCATGCATTTTTCGTTCGGATTGAGAGATAATTTTGGACGTGAAGAGCAGTTGAAAAGGAAACCATGCTGCACGTCCACAATTAGCCACGTCCTGTATCAGCTGCAACATCAGGCTGCTTTGCAACTCAAGCATCTCATTAATGACGGGAACTTAGCATGCAAAATGAACCCTGGAAACAGCCAGGAGTGGACCAATTAACACCCCCTCCCCAATATGAGGTCTCTAACAATACCCGGGGTGCACAGCTGCTCCTATGCTTGTGCCCAGCTTCGCCCCATGAAACAGGTGGAGCATCCCGTAGCCTGCCAAACAGGTGACAATTTCTGAAAAGCACTATAGATTTATTTATTTTTTCACATCTGGGCAGATCATCCACTTTTCTTAAATCCCCCCTCAGCTACTTCCAAAAATGAGGGAAAAAAAGGAGTTGCAACACTCTCCCACACCAATAGAGGGCGGCAAGGAAGACCTCTTGTTGCCCCTAGTGGTTCACCTAGAGTGCTACAGGCCAGAAAGAGAAGTTTTAGCCCCTCCCTTCCCCACTTCTACCCAGGTTTGTTCTGTGCATCACCTCCAAATCCTTCCCGGCTTTTCATTTCTTCCATGTTCAGGGATCTGCCTGCCATCCTGTGGACAAAGGAAAATGCTGCAAAACAGCAAATTTTTCCCAAGGGCGGAAAAAAAAAAAAGCAAGACAGAACGAACCCCATTGCAAATAAGTCATTGTTCTAAATAAAAGAATTGTTATAATAAATAAATCTTGCTTTTAAATTCCTTCCTTTTAGGCTGAATGTAGCCGAGCCTCAACAGACAAACCTTTACTGTTCCTGCTAGAACAAAATAAAAGATAAATCAAGGTCATAGACCACCTTGAGTTATGGACACAGTTCTAAGTAGTAAGTCATAAGAAGCAAAGTCCTCCAGGGAGAGGAATAATGGAACCTCCAACTTTAGGGGCAGTATACCTGATGTGCTGCTTGTGAGTGACTGGAGAGAGATACCTGGCTGGATCTCTGGGCGCTTTTTATGTTCCGTCGGGGTGGCTTTAAAAAGACTTGATTGACCAACAAATATGGATGATAATGTAAGTTTGACATTGTAAGTTTGACATTGAAGCGTATTGTGTGAATCAGCCCAGGGTTTCCTAAGCAGAACCTGACTGCATGCGTGCAGACAGCCACTTATTCTGCAACAAACAACAGCAACAACAATAATAATAAACTTCTGCAAAGATTGCATGTCCCACTAGCTCTATTTGCATAAACCACGCCCACCGCCTTGGAGACCACGCCCACTGCCCGACTCGGGAGACGAAGGCATCGCGGCGACAAAACCAGAAGGAATCTTCGCTTTAGACGCATGCGCAATTTACCCGCACGGGTTAGCCGCTGGGAGTTGAGCACCGCTCGGCGCATGCGTCCTTGGCCCCTCCCTACCACGCCCTTCCAGCCGCCTCCCAGTACGCAGGCGCAAAATAGCGGCCCGCTCCGTTTCCCGAAGAATAGGAAGAGGGGGGGTTGCGTCCTGTTTCCTGTTTGCTCACGTGTCCTTCCGGGGCAGGGTCGCCACCTTTGGGAGGGGTCGTCCGGCCGGCTGTGAGCGAGAGAGGCACCGCGAGGAGGTGAGGATTCTCCTCGGGGCCGGAGAGGGATTATTATGGGATGCGGGAGTCTCGGAGAGGGGAAATGGGGCGGGGAGGGGGTTCCCCGCCTTTCCCTCCCTCCCCAAGATCCTTGGCCAGCTAGATTTCTACTTGCAGGGAGCCTGTGTTGCTTTCTTTCTTGGAGGGCGGGGCTCTGAGGGGGAAAACCCCCATATTTGCTCCTCACAGTTCGGCCTCAGGTCGTCGTCAACCCCCCCCCCCCCCCACTCCGGTCGGTATCACAGGAGGGCGGGTCCAGCCCTTTCAAGAGGAGGGGCCAGGTAGCCCACCTGATTGGTTCGTTTGGGTCCCTCTGGATGTGATTGGGCAGGAGCTCCTTGGAATGACCCGCATGGGGAGGGGGGCGGTCCAACTTTGTTAGGCTGGGGAATTCTGGGAGTTGAAGTCCACAAGTCTTAAAGGTGGCCAAGATTGGAGACCTTCGCTCTATATAGCCTTACAGGTAGTCCTCGACTTATGAAATTTTCATTTAGTGACTGTTCTAAGGTGCAACAGCACTGAAAAAAAAAGGGGCTTAGGGCTGTTTTTCACGCTTCTACTTCTGCTACCTAACGATTGCCTGCAATTTGGCGTTTCGAATCCCGTCAGGCTCAAGGTGGACTCAGCCTTCCATCCTTCCAGGTTGGGTGAAATGAGGACCCAAATTGCTGGGGGCAAATAGGGTGACTCTGCAAACTGCTTAGAGGGCGGTAAATCCCTGTGAATCAGTATATAAGTCTATGTGCTATTGCTACGGTCCTTCCTTTCTCCTCCTTTCCCTCTTCCCTCCCCTTCCTTCCTTCCTTCCTTCCTTCCTTCCTTCCTTCCTTCCTTCCTTCCCTCCCTCCCTCCCTCCCTCCCTCCCTCCCTCCCTCCTTGTGCAATGGTTAGAATGCACTATTTCAGGCTGACTCTGCCCACTGCCAGTAGTTCGATCCTAACCTGCTCAAGATTGACTCAGCCTCCCATCCTTCCAAGGAGCCAGATTGTTGGGGGCAAAAGGCTGACTCTGTAAAAACAGCTTAGAGAGGGCTGTAAAGCACTGTGAAGTGGTGTCTAAGTCTAAGGGCTGTTATGGCCATTGCAGCATCCCCGTGGCCACATGATCAGAATTTGGTGACTGACTCCTACAACAACTGCAGCCGCCCTGGAGGGAGCTGGGCTGTTTTGAAACCTGTAGCTTGACTTCCTTGTTTCGCCCTTCTAATGGGAAGTGGAATGACTCAAAATGTGTTTCCTCCGGGGCTTGAGTAGGCAGAAAACTCACTTTCAAGGGACTATGATTAATATATCCTTTCCAAGCTTGCCCTGTAGCCGTTGCCGGCTACACCCAAAACCGTGGTTCCCTCTCCTACCAGTTTCCTTCTTAGCGATCTTCCAAAGTACCTTCTTGTGGCCTGACCGTTAGTGGCTCCTCGACCAAATCCCCTGGTTTTGACCTGCCTGGCTCTGTCTGGGCGAAATTGAACAGAATTATGGTAGGTGTGATACTGGAAGAAGTGCCTCTGCCTTGCTCTCTGTTCCAGTGAGGCTGGAAGGATCCCCCTTGTTGCAATTGTGATGCTAATATGCAAACTTATTGTGCAAGGCTGCCCACCACAACGTGCGTTCTCTGGTGCCCTAGAAGATCTCTACAAAGCAACACATCTGGATAGATGAATGGGACATCTGCTTATGAGGCCACTGCCGTACCCCTGCAGAAATTGTATATATAATTATGTGGTTGGTGTGCTTGGGCTTGTTTCTCTGCAGTCATGTTCTCATCATAGGCTAAATATACAAATAAGTATTCTTCCCTAGCTTTTCCTAAGAAATATGTTTGTAAGAAGAGCAGTTGATGGATTTGCACAGGGTGGAAAACATTCCCAGCCCCTTTCAGGAATGGTTAACTCCCATTTATAGGGTCAGTTCCGGTTTTGCTGATTTGCTCTCACATAGTGCCCCGGTTGTATAAGTTGCTGATACCCCCCCACACACCTTCTCTCCCATGCTGGAGCTGAGGGTGTAACAAAGGGCGTGTGTGTGTGTGTGTGTGTGTGTGTGTGTGTGCGCGCGTCCCTGGCAACCATTTATTGCAAACGGCGAGGCACAGTTGGTGCTCGTGGCAGGTGAAGGGCATTCAGAGATGGATCCTAAATCTATTAACTTTCACAGTTTTAACTCCCAATTTAACTTCTGTGGACCTCAACCCATATTTAAGGGGTCCTCAAGGGGTCCTTAACGTACCTATCTCCATGTCATGTTTTAGTGTTGTTTTTTTTTCATTTTTTTTTCTTGTTCGGATGTGTTATTTTTGTTTGGTGAATAAACGTTAAATGAGACCGGAAGAAAGGAGGTCTCAGCTCAGAAGCTTTGTTGTTTGATGTACCTTTTTGGGTTTGGGATGCCTGTATTGGTAATGGGTGGCAGTTTTTCCTTTATACCTGTGTCCCCTGGATGATGAGCGTAGTCTGTGTGCTGAGATCCGTTTCCAAAGAGATACGAAAAGGCGCTCTCTGAGAAAAAGCATAGACTGCAAGAGGAATATTTCAGCAGAAAGGGAGAAATTGCTGCTGCTTTCTTCTGCGGATGAACTCAGATGCTAAATTAGGGCTTCCTAGGAAGTCACTCCTGCCCTGACTAAGCTCCTCTTCAACAGAAACATATTTTGCAGTTCCTCACACCTCCCAACAACAATACTCTGGAACTCTGGATCACGACGGAGCTCCGTTAGCCCTAGAGGCAAAGCTGAGGATGGAAGGAGTGGAAGTCAAGGAGGAGTGGCAGGACGAAGACTTTCCCAGGTAAGGCCCAGCCGACTTGTTTTGCTTCACTTGGGTTGGAAAACGATGTCGGAGATTGTATAATTTGCAGTACGTACAGAAAATTTCCTTGGGCAGATTCTGACTCAAGGCGTGGTGGTGATGAAAAATAATGCAATTTATTGCAATGGGTTATTTGTATGCTAGTGGGAGTAGCAGTCCTGATCAGCAAAGGTGTCTTACAGACCATTGTGGGAGGCTGTTTATGCAGCAAGGGTGGAGAAGGTGCACAGATATCAACAGGAACAGGCTGGACTTTTGTGCAGTCCGGAAGTGTTCATGTTAGTGCGTCATCTCCTGATACAGCAGGACTCACAAGCGGTCTGGACTCGAAGTAGTTGTGTCGTCCACTTGGAATCAAATTGTTGTGAGCTACTGCGACTCTTAGGGTTACAGAAAGGAAATAGGAAAGGAAGGAACTTTGATCTTGACTACATTTTAACGTCTGCCCTCTATCCCAGACCTTTGCCAGAAGATGACCATATGGAAGCTGGGCCCGCTGAAAGCGGAGACCAATCCGGTAAGTGCCTCCATCTCGGTTGGAGTAGTAGGGAATTTGATGCCCCCGAGATATTGTGAACTTGACCTTCGAGCTGAGGCAGCTGAGGCAGAAGTTGACGTCTGCTGCTATCAATTAAATTAAAAATGTGACATTGTGCTGCTCCAGGTCACAGCAAGAATAAGAAACTCTGGTGGGACACGTGATATATTCTGATGTTCCACTTCAGATTTTGTTTTTGCCTGATACTCCCCCGGCTAGTTCCAGTATTCTAGAAGTGATCAAAACATTTTAATGTTGCAATTCTACAACTTTCAAATACTGTTTTCTCTAGAGGGTGTGGGGGGGGTATTCCTAACCTACTTTAAGACTTGTGAACTTCAGCTCCCAGAATTCCCCAGCCATTCATGCTGGCTGGAGAATTCTAGGAGTTGGTCCAATTCTAAAGTGGCCAAGGTTGGACAGTCCTGCTATAAAGATTTTCCCACTTTGGAGAAGACTGAGGCAGCCTTCCGAGGAGTGGTCTAACCTTGAATTTGACTACCATAATTATGACAGTGGTTTGAAATCAGGCTACATTTGACAAGATCAGAGCATTTCAGTAAAGATGCACTGGAGTGTTTAAGACCAGTAGCACTGGGAATTCAAAACATTGTGTTCACTTCTGATGGATCACAATGGACACAAAATAGTGTCTTTTTATGAAAGAATAATGTTCACTTTATTAGAAGGACCAAAGTTACATATATGATCTCTGCAGAAATGTCAAAACAGATTCCAAACAGAAGAGAAACAAGTCTTGTATTTAATTCTAGAACTGTTGAGTATATTATTAATTTCTTTGCTGAGCGAAGTGCCTGTATTATCTCCCTTTTAAAAAGTAAAGAAAGATTGTAACATAATGCTTACGTTCGATGGGCTTTCAACAATTAGCCCTACTTCTCAACAACAAGTAAAGTAACTTCTCTCTCTCTCCCCCTTCTGTTAAATAGTCTCGTTTCTAGTTTTGAGGCTTCTTTTTTCTAGCTTTGACATTTACCACAAAATCACCTATTATCTTCCCCTACCTTTCAACCTATTAGAAATTAATGGCAACAAGGTTAAGAAGAAACTAATAGCTCCAAATATAAACTTGACTTTGGATCAGAGTGAAGAGTCCATTTTATCCGGCTTAGAGGCAAGTGGAGATATTGACTTGGACGATATAGACACCCCCTCGGAGAACAGCAATAATGAGTTTGAGTGGGAAGGTAAGATTTAAAAATAAAATAGCAACGGAGTTTTATCCTTAGGTGTGTTCCCTCTCGGGCGCTGTTGCCGCTGAGCCTGCTCCTTTGTATGGGTGTTTCACAGGCATTGAAACGGGAGGGTGCAGAGTCCAACGCTACACAAATGCTTGGCTTATTTTTATTTATTTTTTTACTGTGGGTGAGAGGCGGGTCCAGTCGTGTGTCATTGCAATAAGGTTTCTATCTCTTCTCTTTTTAATGCCGCTGTCTGCGTTTCCCTGGAAGGATAGTTTCCCTTAACCCAGCCTTCTGTCCTTGGAAAACAAACTACTAACTTGCTGAAGTAGTTTTTCCCACCTCTGTGGTAAGGCTTGCACTACTGAAATCTCTTTTACAAAACCAGGAGGATGATTTAGTCCTGGCTAGCGTGCACACACACACACACACACACACACACACACACCCAAGATCCCACGTAGCTTTGATTGAAAGATTTGTCTATTTGCATGACTGCTGCAAATCGGGGCAGTGAAAATGATTTGACAATCAGTGGAAAAATGATCGTTGAAGGGAAACCATCCAGAGCTGTCAACTTCTCAAAGAGTTTTCAGGAGGCGTCTGCACCACCCTAAATATTCTGAATATGTTTTTTAAAAGACCTTGCTTCTGTAATTTGGGCATGTCAAACTTAAATGCTGATTATTCTTTGTGGAGAGCAACTCTGATGTAGAGAACATTGATCAAAATGAGACTTACGTACATTGATTTTAAAAACCTGCAAGAGATTTCACGTTTTCAAAGAAAAGGATAATATTCCCGGTTAGCTCAACTTTAAAATCATTCAGTAACGGTTTAATTCCTCGATTCCTCGTTCATTTTCATAAGGGAACGTTGACCCTTCGAAACGTGAGCCTGTCACTCTGAAACACTTAACTGACCAACCCATCCGTGCGGCCCTGGGAATTCTGGGAGTTGGAGTCCACGCCTCTTAAAAGTTGCTGAAGTGGGGGAACCTCGGTCTGTTAATGTAACGCCGCTTCCAATCCTCTGTTTTCCATGGCGGCCAGATGATCTTCCAAAGCATAAAAGCACCGATGCCGTTCGGAAGGGCTCCCTGCTGGAATACACGGCCTCGGAAGAGAAGGAGGAGGAACGGCGATGGCGAATGTACCAGATTGGGGACCAGGGTCACCGAGTAGACATGAAGGCCATTGAGCCCTACAAGAAAGTAATTAGCCATGGAGGTAAGTGCTGACTTACTATAATGCTTGATTCGCCAGACCGGCTCTCTGCAGCCGCAGGAAACCTTCAAGGAAAAAGCATCGTTGTGATTGCTATTTTTCCTCTCTCTCTCTCTCTCTCTCTAGGTTATTACGGGGATGGGCTAAATGCAATTATTGTCTTTGCGGTTTGCTTCATGCCGGAAAGTAACCAGCCAAACTACCGATACTTAATGGATAATCTGTTTAAGTAAGTGGCGGAGCGAACAGGTAACGCTGCTTTCGTCTGGAGTTAGATTTTGAGGCACCTTATCTGGAAGAGTGGTTGTCTCTGTGGAGCTGGGAGGGATGATTAATTACAAGATTAATTAATTATTTTACTTATTAATAAATAATACAATTATTATTAAAATAAAATTATTTATTTTATTAATTATTAATTATTTTATAATTAATTACAAGATTAATTACCCCCCCATATGAACAGTCTCATTTCCAAAGACGAGTTAAAGGGATCAGATTGGATTGGGAGCTTCTCTTGACAGACAGAGAGGTTGTAAAATGCGGGCCAATCTCACTTAACAATGGAAACGTTGGACTCCGTTGTCGTAAACCGAATACTACTACCTGTATTGCCTGGTCTCGGTGTGAATCAAGCTGCCAGGCCAGCTGTTTCTTCCTCTTTTCCTCCCCACAGATACGTTATCGGCTCCCTAGAATTATTAATAGCGGAGAGCTACATGATTGTTTATCTCAACGGGGCAACCACCCGGCGGAAGATGCCCAGCCTAGGTTGGCTCAGGAAGTGTTACCAGCAAATTGATAGGAGGTAAAGATTAAATAGGGGCGGGGGGGGGGGATAGAGGAAGAGGTGCAATGCATTTGGCAGAGCAATGCAGAGTTCTTTGACGGGTGGGAATTGGGGAAGGGGATCTGCCTCATGCGGCACTGGGGTCACCGCATAATTTTTCGGGAAGAGCGGTGTTGCCAGCCTGTTGCCAACTTCTGTGTCGCTTTTGTTGCTCTTAGGTTAAGGAAAAACCTGAAGTCCTTAATAATAGTCCATCCTTCCTGGTTCATTAGAACGCTCCTGGCAATCACAAAGCCGTTTATTAGGTAACACATGCAATATCTATCCTTTTTTTGTTGTTGTTGAGCTACGTGTTTAGCGCTGTAGCCATGACTTTCGTTTCCCTCCTGTCTCTCTCAGCTCAAAATTCAGCCAGAAAATCAGATACGTCTTTACCTTGGCCGAGCTGGCAGAGCTGATCCCCATGGACAGCGTTACCATCCCTGAATGCATAAAACAGTAGGTCCCCTTTCTTTTGTGTCCACGGCCCCCCCAAAGAGGGTCTGAATGTTTAGGCCCGAAGGGCTCCCCCCTCCATGGAGTTGGTAGCTAAAAGCCAAACGGATTTGCTGGCACACTCTTGGGAGCTTTCTCGGAGAAATCACCTGCCCTGCCCAGATTACAGATCAATAGAGTGGGAAGGGACCCTGTAGGTCATCTAATCCAACCCCACCCCCCACCCAAGCAGGAGACCCTACCCCATTTCTGACAGAGGGCAGCCCGGTCTCTTCTTGAAAGCCTCCAGTGACGAAGCTCCCACAACCTCCGAAGGCAAATTCTGTTCCTTTGGTTGGTGGTTCTCACTGTTATAACGGAGGCTCCAAATCAGTTATTTCTATCTAAGTTTGATCCAGCTGCTGGCCTGGGATCCTCATTTCCCTTCCCAGGGGATGGAGCATCAGAGATCCCACCTGCTCTAAATTTGGGAGAGAGACACTATGATCTCTCCCACGGAGGGGAGGGGAAACCCCTGGTTAATATCATTGTTATGCCTCAGTGATGGGACGTGCTCGGCTAAGTACGTGCGGTTGGCTTGGGTTTGGCGAGTCTCGAAATCTGCGCCAGCTGTAACTAAAATTGAATTTTCCCCACTAAGGTATGAAGAAGAAAAATATAAAAAGAAACTCCAAAGGTACCTGCACTTCTTGATCAGGAACGCGTGTCTCCTCACCTTTTCTGCTCTGGGCTGGCTTTGGGAAGGGAGGTGGCCGGCTGGTGTGCACGCAGCAACACCTGGGGATGGGAATTCACCCTTGCTTGCACGCTTCTTGCGCTCCTGCCGCGCTGCCCACACCGCTGCTTGCTTCCAAGAACGATAAGTAACCCCCCAGAGCTGAGTCTTCGCTGTCTAGCTGCAGGTAGTCCTCGACTTACAGCCCCAACAGAGCCCCCCATTTTTGTTGCTAATTGAGATATTGGTTCAGTGAGCCTTCCCCCACTGTACGGCCTTCCTGGCTTTCGTTGTTAAGTGAAATCCATGCCGTTGTTAAATTGAGCCACACGGTGCTGAAGGGAATTCCGGCTGGTGAGAAGGTCACAAAAGGGGACCCTGCAACCGTCGTAAATACGAGCCAGTTTTTGCCAAGCGGCTGAATTCTGATCGCCTGACCACCGGGAGGCTGCAGTGGCCGTAAGCGTGGGGGGAAAAAAATGGCTGGTGACTCCCTTTTTGTTTGCAGTGCCGTTGTAACTTTGGCCGCTAAACGAACGGCTGTAAGTTGAAGACCGCCTGTATGAACGCTGACCTTCAGACCGAGGGCTGCAAATGCTCCCCGTTAAAATTGGGAAGCCGTTGGGCTATGAAACAAGCGCTTAATTTTACACTGAGGGTGATTATGACCCCATCGACCTTGGTTCATCCACCTTAAAAGCGGACGGAATCGCTCCTTTTCTTTCTTCCTCCTGTGCTCTTTGCGTTTGCAATCCCTCCTTCCCCCTTCTCCCCCACCCCCATATTTCAACGCATGCAGAGCGCTTCTGATGGGGCTTTTAACCAGAGCGGCCTGCTAATAACATTACTGACCACGCCGTCTAACTTACTGCGTTCATTGCTGTGGCTGATTAACAAATCCACTGGATCCAGAAAGTGCTGGTTGTCCGTAATTGCTTCAAATCCGCTCCCCTCTCCTTTTCTCCTTTGGAGGGAACGGCTCAGAATATGGCAAACTTGGCAAAAAAAAACCCTCCCAAAAAGCCGATCCCATCTCCAGCCCCAAAAGGTCTCTGGCCCACTCCCCCTACGCTCCTTGGGACCTGATAGGATTACTCCCAGGAGTAAGGCTGCCAGACCTAGGAAGTTCCTGTATTATAGCCAGAACAACATTAAAGTAGTTAGCTTGCACTCTGCACAACTCTGTGAGCCCGGTCATTCGCACCTACGCAAAGGAAAAGTTGCAGAGTCCGTTTCATTTCTCTGTTAACTATCACTGTTCAAAGTTCCCCTCCAGCCTGTAGGAACCTTCCTGCTTTTACTTGGACCAACCGTTTCACCGCAATTGCTAAGTGATAAGTTTATTTATTTTTTTCCTCGGCGCAAACACTTGCAAAATATGACCCGTATTCCTTCTCTCCGACAAGCAGAATTGATCAAGAATTTAATGGGAAACAGGAGCAGAAGTCTGAACAGTAAAAGAAAAGAAAAAAGTATTTCTGAATTCAAGCCGAGAGTGAAGAACACGCTGGGAGATTTGAAGCCGGGAAGAACACGCTGGCCTTCTGCGTCCGGACTTGGCCTGTTGGGATGATGCGCTGCCGACCTGGGTTTGCACGTCCCGGGCTATGCCGACACTTCATAGTTGCCTTTAATTATAACTTTTACACGGCAGTGTCACAAAGGCACCCTAGGAGGGGCACCTCTTGTTATATTGCGATGCTTATTCAGTAAGTATTTATATGCTTCAACTTTAAGGGGAGAGATAATATATATTTATATATATATATTTTTATGACTCTTCAACGCATATTTTATAACGTTCATCTGCAAAAACGCCTCTGAGACACACTAGCCCACCCATGACGGTTGTCGTTTACTTAGGAATAAAATGCATGAGAATTTCTTATATGTGGTTAAAATGCTTCTTGGCTAAGGAAGAGAGAGGTGGAACTTCGGTTATCCGCTACGCTGGCAAGATCCTTTGCTGTTTCCACTGCGGGGATGGGCCTAGCCCTCGAGTTGGGCGTCCTCGGCTCAAACTCGATCCAGCCCAAGCCCTTCCGTGGTGGAGCTCCGAGGTTTCAACTCCCTCCTCGCCGCCTGGACAGAAAGATCCCGTAATTGAGAATAATAGCATTGTTTGGATGTTAGGGCTGGTGGAGGCTGTTTAGCTCTGGATGCCCAGCGAGTGACTTAAACATTTGGGTGACATTCCAGAGCGGAACGGGGGCGGCCTCCCACCTGGCCTTCTCCTTGCTACCACGGAGGAGACCTCAGTCCAACTTCTGCTGCTGTGCCTGGCTAGCTTGCTGCCCACCCATAACGTGGAGCGGAGTTGCAGAACTTGGCATCAGGATGTGGCACTCGAGAGGAGAGGAAGTGTACCCTGAATTAAGGACAAGGACAGCTTAGCCCAGGGGTCTTCAACCTTGGCTACTTTTAGCCTGGAGGACTTCAACTCCCAGAATTCCCCAGTCAGCTTTGCTTCATCTCCTGTGATCCCTTTCTCTGCAACCTCTCCATTTTCATTTAGTTCTCTACAATTCTGGTAGTGGACGTCCACAAGCTTTGCTGGCTGGGGAATTCTGGGAGTTGGAAGTCCTCCAGGCTTAAAGTGGCCAAGGTTGGAGACCCCTGGAGCCTTCGCTTAGACAGGCTGTTGTGAAGACCACCCTGTGTCTCTCACCAAGGTGGAAGAACAAATGTTACGTGGTTATTTCGTACTTTGGAAAGCAAGGCTCTTGAAAAGGGCACTTTCCACCAGCACTAGCTTCACTTTATACACCTTTTTTGAAAGGAGTCTGTGTGTTTGTGATGCATGTTTTACCTGTTTCAACAGCCCTCCTCAGTCAGGGCGCGGATGTGTCACATGCACGAATTCCTAGCAGGTTCATCATCAAAGCCATAGTGGATTGTAGCAGAAATGTTAAGGTTTTGTTTTGTTTTTTGAAAGCTTGGGCATCGCTCTTATTTTCATTTGTATTTAAAATTTGTGCGTGTTGTTGGCAACAGTGTTTTCTTGTTCCCAGTGTTCGGTTGTGGGAGGGTGGGGGGAATACTGCCCGTGTGTCGTTCATAACCCAATCAATAAAACATTTTTAAATAAAGAATGGCCTTTAATTGGGTATTTGTCGTAAATGCTTAAATTTATTTCTTTTAAGATGGGGAAAACGCTACTCGTCTTGCTTAACAAACCCAAATCTTCACCTTGCTGGAGTGAAAACGGGACAGTTGCGTTACTTGGGCCAAGGACAAGAATAATCGCTGGGTCAGACCTTGCGGGATTTTCAAATGCTGCGGGTTTTCCTTGGTGCCCCTGTAAAGCGTCTGAAGCGGTGGGGGCGCCCGCCTATTCAAACACCAGACAGCAAAAAGGGAATTATTAGGCACAGAAAAACAACTTTGCCACTTTTTTGGGGGGCCACGTGGCTGGCCACCTCACCTGGTGCCAGGAGGGTGGTATTGGATCCACTGGGTACTCAGGAGTAGCGTTTGCTCCCTTTTTCCAGAGGATCTCCTGGTGGTCTCCCATCCAAGAGCCACCCAATTTCACACACCTCCCCGCGCCACTGGGGCGGCTGAGCTCCTCCGCACACGCGCAGAGTGCGTTTCCCGTGCATTCCTAGCGGACCGGCCCCTCAAGCCAAGCCGAACCGGTCAAGGGGCGATTCCCACCGAGGGGAACCCGCCGCACTCGGACAGCGGAAGAACCGCCTAGCAAGTCCGCCCGCTCGCCGGCTGCCTTTTCCGCGCATGCGCCGCCCTTTCCGGCCGCCGTCATGTACGCTCCGCCCCCCTCAGGAGCGCCTGCGCACGTTCGCAGCGGCTCTATGGTCGCGTCCGCCGCGTTACCTCGACTTCCGCTTCCGGGCCCCGCTCGGTAGTGTCGCGGAAAGAGGCGGGCATCGAAGCTGGCGGCCCGTTTCTCCGCGTCGGAGGTCTGGAGGAGCCCGGCGGCCCCCGTGCGGGCGAGGGAGCCGCCCTCGCCGAGGTAGCCGCTCCCCCATCCCCCCCCCACGCCCTGCCGGGGACTCCGCGCCCCATCCTCCGCAGCCGGCCGGGCGCCCCCCTGTCCCCTCCGCCTCCCCCGGTCAGCGCGGGCCCCGCCGCTCGGCTCACTCGGCCGCGCCTGGGGTGGGAGGCGGGCGGGGGTCTCCCCAGAGGGCGGGGCGGGGGGCGCTCGGAACCCCCCCTGCGAAGGCCGGGCCGAGCGCCCCCTGGTGGCCCAGCGCGCAGGAGGAGCGCGCATGCGTGTTCATGGACCGCCCCCCCCCCCCTGCAGGAGGAGCTTTGGGGCTGGCTTGGGACCCCCGACCCCCATAAAGGGGTGACAACAGGGGGGCTGCAGTGGCCGTAAGTGTGGGGGAAAAAAATGGCTGGTGACTCCCTTTTTGTTTCCAGTGCCCTTGTAGCTTTGGCCGCTAAACGAACGGCTGTAAGTCGAAGACCGCCTGTATGAACACCGACCTTCAGGCCGAGGGCTGCAAATGCTCCCCGTTAAAATTGGGCAGCCGTTGGGCTATTAAAAAAATCAATTCATTTAGCGGCCATTGGAAGCTGCAACAGTACTGGAGAAAGTGACAATAGTTACGACTGTTTTCCACGCTAAACGACCACTGCAGCCTCCCCGTGGTCCCGTAATCAGAATTCGGGCATTTGGCTCGCTGACTCGTATTTACGACGTCTGCAGCGGAGTCACATAATCCCCTTTTGGCGACCCTCAAGGGAAGGAAGCCGGATTTGGTTAAAATATCATTTTGTTGTATGCCGATGAGTGAACTACTCAAAGCGGCAACAGTGGCCGTTACTCTAACCCTGTTCTGACCAGCCGAACGGGAGTAAAAATGGGGCAAACCTCACTTCACCAATGTCTCGCTTAGCAACCGACACTTTGGGCTCCATTGTGGTCATAAGTTGAGGACCACTTCAGCAAGCTGAGTGGTGCTTTTATTGTAACGTATCTTTGGTGAGAAAGAGGGAAACTGGCCTGAAACGGGCTGGAAGCTCCCTTTTATCCCCGTCTCTGCGTGACGGTCATTCTCCTTCCCCCGCCCAGGATGACCCCCACTCTCAATTTCCCAGGTCTTTAGCGAAAGCCGGGGGGCGTCACATCTGTGGATGACCAGCCTCTGTCTCCCTGAGCCATGGCCTACCAGCTGTATAGAAATACCACCTTGGGTAACAGCCTTCAGGAGAGCCTGGATGAGCTCATTCAGGTGAGGCAGTTTATTATTTCATTCTGAATAAATGATTTGAAGTAGGAATAAACGTGATTGAAGGAGGTACATAATAGTTTTTTTGAGGGACCAGGTGGCTCAGTGACTGAAACGCTGAGCTTGTCGAGAAGAAAGGTCCACAGTTCAGCGGTTCGGATCCCCAGCGCCGCATGATGGAGTGAGCTCTCGTTCCTTGTCACAGCTTCTACCAATCTAGCAGTTGGAAAGCACGTTTTTTTAAAAAAAATGCAAGTAGACAAATAGGGACCACTATTTTGGTGGGAAGGGAACACCGTTCTGTGCGCCTTTTTTAAGGTGTTTAGTCATGCCGGCCACATGACCACGGAGACGTCCTCGGACAGCGCTGGCTCTTCTTCGGCTTTGCAACGGAGATGAGCTCCGTCCCGTAGAGCTGGAAATGACCAGCATGGGTGTGCAAGGGGAACCTTTACCTTTATATTAGTTTTGCAGTCAAGAGGTCAAAGCAATATATACAGTCTTCCAACTTGGCAAGTTTAAGACTTGTGGACTTCAACTCCCAGAATTCCTGAGGTAACATGACTGGAGGAGGAGGAATTCTGGAAGTTGAAGTCCACAAGTCTTAAAACTCAAGCCGGAAGACCCCCTGGCTTAGGTGAAAACAGTGTTAAGAGTGCTTTCCTTTCCCAGGTTTTTCTTCCGTGTCGTCATCGGAGGCAGAAGCAAAGAGTGAGATGCCTGTGAGGATAGGAGAGGCTTCACAAAGGAAGACAATAATAACCGCCCAGTTTCTCAAACTCAAAACAAGGGTTTGAGTTCCGTTGGGCAATGTTTGCTAGTTTCCTGAAGCTATAAATGGGCAGAATCACATTTATGCTGATTTAATCATCTTTAGAGTTCTGCATTTATATGGTGGCTGAAGGGAATGAAAAAAAAAAAAACCACTCAAGTCATGCTGGTTGAAATTGTAAATTCTAATTTGTGCTCTAAAAATTTGGGCTGTTTGGACAAACCTGGTACGCCAATGGGTGTGTGGATATCAAAGCAAACTTCTGATTTTGGACCGATGAACGTTGTGTCTTTGGAGTTTAAAGTTTTCTCCTTCAATCTTTCAGTCTCAGCAGATTACACCTCAGCTCGCTCTCCAAGTCCTCCTACAATTCGACAAAGCTATCAACGCTGCACTAGCCCAGCGAGTCAGAAACAGAGTCAATTTCAGGGTAAGAAATGCTAATAATGCCAATTTTCTAAAATTGAGGGGGAGCCATGATGAAATCGCCCTAATAGGCAGAATCGCAGTAGGATAGACGGTTGAGGACAATTAAGATGACGAAAAGCAAAAGTATTCAGGTATCTATATAGTACAACTGTTTATAAAAGCTTTCCCCGAATTCTCCCGCTCGCCGTTGTCCCTTTGATGGCCACAGGGGGGCAATAGACCCATTTCCAGAATAGCCGCCTGCCTCTATCCGGAAGCGGAGGGAGCTTCAGGCGCCCAATTCAACAGCCGCCCCTCCGTTTCTCCCTTTTTCCTAAGTTATCTACGGAAATTCTCGGCCGTCCAGGTCATCGTTGCTTGAAAGGCGTCCTTCTTCTCCCACAAAAAAAACCCAAAACAGTCCAAAGCCCCTTTTGAGACCCTTTTCCTACGTCTTCTGTGATGACCCAGGGCGTGGCGCAAAAATAACCAAAGTCACCAAAGTAGACAAATCCCCTTTAATGCCTCCAACTTGGCCCCCCGTGTCCAGTTATCCTCGGCTGGAGATTAAACTCTTCCAAAAACAAGGGGAACAGAAGGAAGAAATGCAGTCCGAACCCAAAGTAACAGATAAAGTAGAAATAAAAAAGAACCAACACAAACCACGCTGAAGTAAATTAACACGACAGGCCAGGATAATAACTTGCAGGCTTCCAAAAGAGAACGAGGCACACGACAAAGATCATGCTTTGCTTCTGGCAACTTTGCCATGCGCAGTTTGCCCTTTTAAACAGTCTTCCCAGCTGCAGGCCATGAAGGGGATCAGGGCCCTTTTCTCTCCCATAAGCCATGTTGTTCCCTTCTCCGTTCCTCCCTGCGTGCCCTAGGATGAAGAGGGAGTGGCCCTGGGTCTTCCTCTGAATGCCCATCCGGCCTATGGCCCCTCCCCAGTTTCCTCCACAGCCATGGGAGCCCCCCTCCCACTCCCTGTCGGCTGTTCCACCTCGGATTCACCTTCCTTCCTCTTTCCCCCCCCCTTTCTTCTTCTTCTTTCCCCCCCAAGGGCTCTCTGAATACGTACAGGTTTTGCGACAACGTTTGGACCTTCGTGCTGAATGACGTGGAATTCAGGGAGGTCACCGAGGTGGTGAAAGTGGACAAAGTCAAAATCGTGGCCTGCGATGGGAAGAGTAAGTTTTTTTGGGGGGGTGTCAACGCTTGCGCTTGTCAACCTGGGCCAGAACCTGCCCCCCTTCTCACACACACACACACACACCCAGGTTAAAGGGGGTTGAGGTTGAGAAACGCGGCTCTAAACCAGGCAGGTCGCGGATTGGTTCCCCCGTGAAAAGTGGAGGTTACAACGGGTTTAATCTCAGGCAGGCTTTCTCCTCCTCTGCCTTGGGAGATAGCTGGCATTTCCTGAAGGCCGTTTGTTAGGAGGGGGTGACAACACCTTTACTCCGACTTGGCCCCGCCAAAACCAACAGAAGGACGAACCTTCCTGCTGCGAAGAGGCGCTCTGCCGCCTGTTCACACAGAGCCTCATTGTTTAAACTCGCCGGCTCACTTCCCTCGCCCGGCAGCAGCTGTCAAACACAACTTTCAGCACACAAGTGCACAACCCTAGAGTTGCTTCCTTCTGACGGACACACGCCCGTCTTCTCACCTGACTTACCTCTCCGCGAGGGCAAAACCCGGTCGAGTCCACGAGGCACTTGCCATTTTTTGCAATGTTGGCAGGAGGCTGGCTCTGTGGAGGGCAGCCCCACACCCCCCAAAAATCAGGGGGTCTCCACGGAAGGCCTTGACTCGGCCTGTTTTGCATCCTTCCGACGGCCGTAAAATGAGGGCCCAGATTGTCGTTGGGGGCAAGAGGCTGACTCTGTAAACTGCTTGGAGAGGGCTGTGGAGCAGTATATAAGTCTGTACCCTCCCTCCTCCCTCCCTCCCTTTCTCCCTTCCTCCTTCTGTCCTTCCCTCCCTCCCTCCTTTCTCCCTCCCTCCATCTCTCTTCTCTCTCTGTGCCCTTCACAGGGCTGCTGTTGTGGGGAAAATAGGAGAAGGAAGGTTTGTTGGATATGTTTGCTGCCCAGTTAATTAATTGAGTTAATTAATTGTCAAAATAATCGGGGTGAGATATAAACAAACACCGGCCGGACTTGTCCGGGCAGTTTCCTTGGCCAGGTTTTTGGAAGTGGTCTGCCCTGACCTCCTTCCTAGGTGAGAGTGACGGGCCCAGGTTCACCCCAGCTGGTTTTGGGGGTGGGGGGGGCTGACTGGAACTCACCTGTCCTCCGGTTCCTAGCCTGGTGTCTCAACCACAAGACCAAGCCAGCTTGTTGGGAGTAAACCCGTCATTCCTTCTTGGGCCGCTTTGGCCCTGGAGCCGAAGTGTTTCTCACCCGGCGTCTCCCTTGCCTCCAGATACAGGTTCCAATGCTGCGGAGTGAAGGGGGATCGGGGCCTCCGAGCCCACGTGGACTGGATGGGCAGGGCTTCCGGGGGAGCGGCCTGGACCAAGGAAGACTCCGCCAGGAGCCATTTTAATCACGCAGGCAAGGCTCACCTTTTCTGGAAGGCCTTGTGGAAGGAACTGTCTTGGCAGCGAGGTCCCATAAGGCACCTCCGGGCATCGGCCCCGTGACGGGGATAAGCAAGCTTGCCCTTTTTTTTAAAAAAAAAACCCGAAAACCAGAGGATCAGAAATAAAGATGAAACATACACAGCTACTTCTGGGTTCATGAAGGTCACCAATAAATCTTTTATTTAAATCTTTGAGTGGCGTGATAAGTATTGGATCCTCTTCCTTTGCACCATCGGCTCTTGCTGGATCCACCTGTGTTTCCCACCTCTCCCAGTTAAAATCTCACTATTTTGCCAGTCTTGGGGCCTGCAAACGTAGCCAAACTCTTTTGGCATGCTTTAAACCCGAATTTAAGAATGGCTTATTCTTGTCCTTAAAAAATGTTCCACTATGGTCTGTCTATTCTTTCTTTCTTTCTTTCTTTCTTTCTTTCTTTCTTTCTTTCTTTC